GTCATTACTGTTAAAACATGTTATGGTTTGCCCTTGCTTCCTGATTCTGTGATTTTATTTTTGGGCCTTTTTTCCACTTTGTTTCACCTCACCTGCTCCAGCTTTACCCCGGCCTACGATCACCACTCGCTGCTTTTACCTGTCCCTCGTTATCCCTTGGTTGCCTGTGTACATATACTCCTTCCTTCCCTCGGGCGCTCACTGGTTCATACCGTTATGTACCTGGTTCCTGCTGCAGAGACTCTTCTTACCTGAACCTGAGATCATGAACATCTTTTCCGAGTTTGCAAGCCAATCTGCCAGCTGTTATTCTCCTACCTGCCAGCTACGCTGTCCCTAGCTCTTCTCCTGTCTACTCACCTGTGAGTGTCAAAGACGCCAGCGATGCCGATGAGGTATCCTGTCTAGCAGTACCTGTTGTTGTTCTCCCTCCGGCCAGCTATGCTGTCACCAGCCCTTCTCCTGTCTACTCACATCTGACCCGTCTCCACTCACCTGTATGCCATGGTACTCCGGTCCTACTGGTGCCTGCCAACCCGTATCCACTCATCTGCTCTCCCAGGTTCTCTGGTCCAGCTGGTTCTTGTCCATCTCCACTCTTCTGCACTCATCCCCAGCTCCACGCTGCACTGCCTGCCTGTCCCATCCAGAACCTGCTCTGCCTCTGTCCTCTCTTTCTTCCACCCATTAAACTCACGTTTTAGGTACAATAAACTCCTTTCTGGTGCTACTTCCTGTGTGTCTCAAGTCTTCATTTTTGGGTCCTACCTCCTGCGCCTCACCCTAACAAAACACAAACATTTACTCCAGTGTTTTCCAATAGCATAAGAAGCACCTTGTGTGTCACTTTGTGTGTGACAACTTAAGTAAGATTCTAACTGCATCATTATACTGTATGCCACCTAAAGCTTTTACATTTTTGTTTTACTACAACTACACCACAAGTGTGCTGTGTAGTGGGATACGGTAGACTTTAAAAAGAGCTGTTTTTGCATCATCTGAACACATGAAATTTGCATGCCAGTATATTGGTTTGTGCATACAATTTACAACACTGGCGCTACACATCATCATCATCATGTAGATCACTCCTGATAATGTAACCCAAATGTTTCATTTTATTTACTACTTCTAGTGCTTGATCTGCCAAACAAAATATTTTTTTGCATTTGATCCACTTCAGTTTTAGCAGAAATGATCTTTTTAGGGTTCATACTGCACACCATAATCCAAGCAGACTCTGAGCAGCTACTGTAGGCCAGCACTATAAGGAGACAAAATGACTAAATCATTAGTATACATCAGATAGCTCATAACGTGATGCCCCACCCTACATTCAGTCTGTAGAATTTGGGTGATGCAACAGGACAATGACCCAAGACACTGGAGCAAGTCCACAACAGAATAGCTTCAGAAAAATAAATTCCGCCTTTTGGAGTGGCCAAGTCAGAGCCCAGACCTCAACCCATCAACCAGTTATTAATTCCAGGGGTTCACTTACTTTTTCCACAACCATTTTGAATGGTGAATGAATGTCTTCAATAAAGACATGAAAGATCTGATTTTTTGTGTGTTTTTGTAGGCACATTATATTTGTCAGTATTCTTGACTTAGATGAAGATCAGATCACATTTTATGACAAATTAATGCAGAAAACCATGAAATTCCAAAAGGTTCACATACTTTTTCTTGCCACTGTACACTAGATGACAGGGGCATTTTGCCATTATTGATAACCCTAACTTCTTTCCAGAATTCATAATGATCATTTTGTAGAAGATTTTTGGCCACAGAGTTTGCCCTCTTCTTTTAATAAAGCATAACACATATCTAGCATTTGTATCGTTCTTGTGCTCCCACTCTGGGCCATTCCTATCTTTTCCTGATAAAACCCAATTTTTAAAAGCTTCTTTAGCATCCACATGGAGTTCAGACACATATTAATTCCATCCTGGCCTAAGATTATGTTTCTTACTTTATTTTTGGCAAAATGTTTTACTGCTTTTTTGATGATTCACAATTGTATCATACATTGCACATAGGTCACTGTTGTGGCTTTGGTTCTTGCAGTTAATATTCTCACACAGAAGACCATCAAGTGGCACATCAATATTACTTAGGCCCTTATCAGTCAGTGAATTGTAATGCCTTAAGTCATCTTTTGTGTACTTGTGAGCAGTCACATGGCAAAGTCTGCAGTATAGAGGCAGCAACAGCAGCAGTTGGTGTTGTAGGAGCAGTTATTAGTAGCAGGGGTCAGGCTAATAGACTTATGCCACCAGGCCCAACCACATCATAGCATGTTTGTGGATTAGAGTTAACTGATGGTTAGACTATGTCCTGGCCTGTATCCATTGCCCCAACTTCAGTTTCTTGATCCGTCTTAGATCTGCTGGGTCAAGCTAAAGCTACAGACAAAGTCTTGTACACAAAGAGCCATGTGTGACTGAGGGCAGCAGAAAGCACAATGTGTGTTTGTGACAGAGAAATTATGAGGAACAGTGAGTGAGAGAATCAACAGAAGTGTCCTTTCACTCATGGACATGTTGCCTTTTGAATTATTCATTTCTTCAGACCAAGTGTGTGGATATCTGTATGTGTGTCTGTGTGTGTTGTGTTTGTTGTCTCCGTTTCCCTTCCTAGGGTTGAGGTCACATGTAATCAGCAAACAGAATTAGTAATACCTGCATTTTGGAGAGAGTTAATATGTGTGTGTTTTTAAGTGCAAGTTTTGTAAATGAGAATGTAAATAGCTCCACAATAAAAAGCTTTTCCAGGCAGGTGCCATTAACCCAGTGTAGAAGAAGAATGTAGAAAACATGATGTAAATATGGTATTATTGTTTGTTTCATGCATCAGTTTGAGGACATTACAAATGCTACAGTTCATACAGATGCTTTGTTTTGTTTTGTTTGTTTTTTTGTCTCCTTGGTGGATGGTTAGTACTTCATACACATCAGCAAACAAGCAAACACTTTTTTGCAATATTTCAGGTTTTTTTTTTCAAATTTCTTGCATTTTACTGGTGTTTTATGCACACATTAAAATTGTGTAAAAACTGGTGGATGTAAACCAACCTAATATAACAATAGTGCCACTTTGTGAGTGTTTATATTCTAAAACTTGGGCTAACATACACAGCAGCCAGAAACACAGCACTGTGCTCTCTTGCTAGATAGTAGGGCCGGCATTTCAGCAATAAAAACTCTTCATCTGGCGAACAGTGCTTATAAACAGTTCGTACATCTCCACACCACGAGTTATTGATAAACACACACACCGCCTCCTTTTACTTTCCCTGAAGCAGCAGTGCGGTCTCCCTGATGTACAGAGTGGGTCTCTAGCTGAATCGTGGAGTCTGGAACTTTATCAGAAAGCCAAGAATTAGAGCACAGCATTCTCTGATTTCCCATTGTGCTGTAATCCTAGCTCTTAGCTGGTCCAATTTGTTTTCCAGAGACTGTACGTTAGCTAGGAAGAGGCTGGGTAGTGGTGGTCGGGTAGCGTGAGCTTTTAGCCTAGCATGGAGCCCTCTTCTCTTGCCCCGTTTGCATCTCTGTCACCGGGTCGCTTTCCTGATTTCAGCCTGCTCGCTTGTGCCTGGTGCTCCGGGGGGTGTGAGTTGGTGATATCCAGCAATGCCTGTCTGTTGTATGTTAGCAGTGCATGACATTTGTGCACTGCAGAAAAAGCAAAAAACACACAAAAAAGTAGAAAACAAAGAGAAAGGCAGCATTCTAGAGTGGAACTTGCAAACATGTCTGCCTTGGTGGGCGCCATCTTGCATCTATTCTAGATTATATATCTGTGTGGTGAAAAATTGTGCCAAACATTGCTTATGAAAGGAAGATAATTTCACAGGAGTTTTGTCTATACTAAAGTTGCACATCAGAAGAAGTTTTAAACCTCGCAAGTAAGAAAACACATGTTCAGATATAAAATTGCAAAATGAGGTTGAGTTTTTAAAATATTTTTTCAACCAACCAATTTTAGAGGTATTGGTAAGAGTGTGAAAATCAAGAAAGCCCTCCTTTGTCATAAGTGCTCATTGTAACAGACTTCTTTACATAATGTGTTTTGAGGTCATAATGATCAGTGATCATCAGTAAAATTAACATAATTTTAATATATTTAGCACATAACTATTAAATCTAAGTATTTATCATGTTTTAGTAGTAGTACTATCTGTAATGGCATAGCAACAGTAGTGGTTGTAGCAGAAGTAGTGAGAGGAGTTTCACTACTTCTGGATCCTTTTCAGTTGTAGTTTTAGCAGAAATTGCATCAGCA